AGCTATGGGTTAATTAGTAGGTCTTGTACCAGTAAATCATTATTATCTTCCCAAAATTACATATACTGTAAAAATAATAGATAGGTGTAAAACCAAATGAATCAAATAAATCAAATAAAATTATATATATATATATATATATATATATATATATATATATATATATATATATATATATCGGGTATAACAGCAAAATTGTCTAAATCGTATAACAGCATGCGATAATTGTCCACCCCACAAAATCTTTAATATCTAAAAAAGGCGCTAAACTAATTGAATTTCTTTTTTCCAGATTTTCAGATATGGCGTTTAGCCATCTTGATATCATCTATCGTATGAATCACGCAAAAGCCTCTAGAATTATTCAGATAGAAATAGAATAGGTTAAAATCGTTTTATGTCAACACTACCGTTAACCCAACTGAGCAATGGTGAGAGGAAAAAGAAAATTCAGACCTTCAGTAATGGTACCAAGATTCATCCTCTGGCTTCCATTTTCAAAGTCCATTCAAGAAACATCAAGAGAACGGTGAATAAGTTTTAAAAAGAGGGAAGAAGAGATTGGAAAACTGGATCAGATGATTACAACAACAAGAAGGATCATCATTTCAACTTAAATCTAAAGGAATCAATTAGAAAAGATCCAACTCAATCCATAAGATGTTTGGCACGCAAGAGAGGAGTTTCAGCTATAACAGTCCAAAGAACAGTGAAAAAAGATTTGAAAATGAAATGGGACCTGAAACTTGTTAGAAGGTTAGCGAGTGTCAGGATCATCTTGAATAAGTTAGAAAATGGTTCTGGAATTACATATATATATATATATATTTGAAATTTATTTCAATACTTCATAAGCTTCTGATACTGATCTATGATTAATTAATGATGAATATGTAATTTTCGTTTATGATCGATTTCATCAGGACTCTTCTGATAAGCTTGGAGAATAATTATCCAGTCTTACTGCTCAAAGTAAAGTCCAATAATGTTATCAAGACCACGGAGAATTCCAATAATATATCTTTAATCATTTCTAATATTCAATGTTTAAAGCTTAATCCAACAACTGAACAATTTTTTTTGTTACACGATTTGGCCAATTTTGCTGTTACACCCAGTATATATATATATATATATATATATATATATATATATATATATATATATATATATATGTATGTGTGTGTGTGTGTGTGTGTGTGTGTGTAATACATGGGGGAAAGTTATAAATCCTCTTCCCCCTATAGCAGGACAGATTGGGTTCCAAAGCCTTGGATAGCAACTAGTCTAGGAGAAGGACAACTCTGAATTCAAAACCTGCTGAGGGTCGTTTGGGGAATTTGTGACACGTAGTGCAGCATGACTCTGTATACGGCCCTTGAAAAAGTGTGAATGGTTCTGCACAAAACCTTCACCGTTATAGTCAAATATATATACATACATATATATATATATATATATATATATATATATATATATATATATATATATATATATATATAAACAATAATCAATAAATAAATTAATAAATAAATATTAATAAACAAATGGAACGTGTACTCAGTTATAGGTATCCACTAAAAAGTAAAGTTTAAGTTATATGCATATATATATATACTTAGACGTTACTTTTAGTGGATACCAATGACTGAGTACACGTTCCATTTGTTTATTAAACAGTAAAATTAATGAAACTGGTACAGCAAATTTCACAAGTATAAGTGATTCGAGTTCCAGTTTTGTTTGAACTCGTATCCACAGCTTTGAAAACAGGCATTAGCAGACGTTTTTGAACAATGTGATCCATGATTACTAGCTCATCACTAGGCGAACCACACATCGAAAAACGATTCAAGGTCATTTACCATAGTAGATATTTACACTATGGAAAACCATTTATGAGAGCATTTACCATACAATCGGAGATGGGGGGGCGTGTGAGTAGGGAGAAAAGATTTTTATATAATGAAACATTTGAAGTTTTGATACAATGTTATCACTGATGACTGGAGATTAATTCTAATTTATTCCTTTGTCAATAAAATTTATATTTTTTCTACAGAGAAAAAAAAATTCTCATGAATGTTTCATATTTAAAAAGCAAAATAGGTTTAAACGTATGATCTTACTTAGTGAAAATCGCCAATGGTCTACATTGATAAAAACGTTATTTTCGCCAAAAGTTTTCAAAATTAATTCCTTTGTAAAAAAAAAAGCGTATATTTCTTCTACAGAGAAAAATATATATGTACATTTAGACACACACAAACGTATATATATATATATATATATATATATATATATATATATATATATATATATATATATATATATATATATATATATATATATATAAAAATAAAAAGGTATATTTAATCAGGTAAACAGCATCCACCCACAGAAATTTCATAAAAAAACGAGAGATTGATTGTTTAATATATATTAAGAAATGGACAAAGTCCGACAATTTATTCATTAAAGACATTTTTATGTTTAACGTTCTTTTTTTACAGATACAAGAAAATGCTCTGTTTATAATAAACAGTATTAAATAACATTTACCGGCCTGAATGTCCGAGTAATATTCGTCCTTTGATAGGATTCGAACCTGCATCCTATACGGAACCGTCATTTACGCTGACGTGCCTAACCTCTCGGCCATAAAGGAGCGTTCGGTAGGCAAGGTCGAATTTACTGCTTATAAACTTCAATTTCGTACATTCATAACTGCTCTGGCGTATCAAATGTAAACAAAACAAATGACGTCATATATTAAGAAATGGACAAAGTTCGACAATTTATTTATTAAAGACATTTTTATGTTTAACGTTCTTTTTTTTTATATAGATACAAAGAACGAATATTTTCTATGAAAATTTCTCGGACATTCAGGCCGGTAAATGTTATTTAATACTGTTTATTATAAACAGAGCATTTACTTAAATACTTGTATCTATAAAAATAAAATAAAAATAAAAAGAAGAACGTTAAACATAAAAATGTCTTTAATATATATATATATATATATATATATATATATATATATATATATATATATATATATAAAATGTGTGTGTGTGTATAATCTAAAAATTACTTTCATTGACTATAATTCACTTATATGCTCTATATAAAAATTATATTGAGCTCTTTTTTGTGGATTAGTTTTAATATCTTTTATTAATAGGATCTACTTGGATTAATTACCCATGTTT